ACACTGCCTTGGCAGGAATGGACAAGAAAGCAGCCAGCAGAAGCTGGGCACCTCTGAGACCCTGGGCCCAGTACTTCTGTGAAAACTGAGGGGAGAGCCAAGGGGGCCCTCTTGAGAGGTATTCCTCGCCCAGGGTTTGCACAGACTCAATGAGGGCCTCCAGGCCAGTGGACTGGTTTGCCCTTTGCTGCCTTCACAACCCTTGTAGTCTACACAGCTACCATCCCGACCTATGAGGGCCCAGGCCAACGTGCTAGGCACTGCAGCATGGGACTCACTCTTCTTCAGGGTAATGTGGTACCAGGAAGTACCCCCTCAGCTGTCACCTCCTCCCTGTCTGTCACCTCAGTGTCCTGTCACCTCAGTGTCCTGTCACCTCAATCACTGCGCTTTGAGACAGGAAGTGCCCTCTCCCCAGTGTCAGGCCAGGACTGCTCCTCTACCACCTTGTAAGCACCTAGCTGGTGGGGCAGCTGAGAGCACAGGCAGCACTCCCACTGGCTGGGCAACCTCTTAGCCACTGGTACCCTGCATCCTCCGGCAGGGCAGGTACTGGGCCTTGAGTGGAATGACACCAGCGCATGAAACTGTTTTGAGGAGTGGCAGCCACCCTGCTGTGCTCTGCTCCTCCCCGTGGGGCCCAGCCCTGCTAGGAGGCCTGGCCACAGGCCTCTTCCTCTGAGGACAGAGCAAATATGGCATAAACCTGAATGTGACCAGTTAGTGCATGATCATGTTCGAGAAGGAGGGGGGCAGGCTACAAACAAGCTCAGGGGTGCCAGGGAATGGGGCCTGTGGTCCAAGAGATGGGACATTAGCTAACAGTGGCCCCTTGAGCCAGCACTGTGAGGATGTCCCCTGCTGCCGTTTCTTCTTAGGCAGCATGAGGTGGCAGTTCAGCATTGCCTTGACATCCTTGTTTTGTAAATGAGGAAATGTGACATTTAAAGTCTGTGGCTTGGCCTCCCAGCAAGGAGGTGGGGAAGAGCTCTGGGAACCCAGGACTGGGTGGATTCTGGTCCAGTTGCCAGAGCCCAGAGGTTCCAAGGCCCTTCCCCAAAGAGGTCAGGAACCTTAGGCTCCCCAGACTCTGCCCCAGTGTATTCAGGCATTCGCCTCTTTTGACAGTCCTGAGTGGATCTTGGGAGCCATGTGTCCCTAGATACAGGGTTACTGACCTGACTGAGGACAGGGACACTGAAGGCATCTCTTCCAACTACCAGCATCAGGGAGTGGGTGCTGAGAATGGTGATCCAGCTCAGGAGGCTGCCACTGCCTCCCATGCCAGCCCATACCTGTCACCCCAGAGGGAATGATCCCCAGTGACACATGTTTCTAACCTGCCCACTCCCTCAGCTTCCAGCCCCATGGGGATAGACAGGAAACCCTTAAATTGACACTTTGGGGACCGTCCAGTCAAGGACTCTGCTCAGGCCTGACTTTGTGTTTGGTTTGGGGAGGAGCTGTTTAAAAAGACCTTTTAAAGGAAGAATATGAAGTACTGTGGGCTGGGAAGAATGCTTTGGCCACACCCAGGCATGGCTGTTCAGGGAAGGGGTGGCTTTAAGCCTAGGGTCTTGCTTCCTGCTGTGTCCTGGCCCTGTGTCACAGCAGAGCCCCCAGGAAGGCAGAAGGCCCTGTCTGGCAGCTTCCTTTGTCTTCAAAGATGGGTGTCTTACCAAGAACATTTCCCTGTTAGAGACTTTTGTGTGTCTAGCTGCTCTAAGCCACATGGTAGGAACTGGCACTGTCTACTTACTCCTGCATGGGCATCCCCTCTGCCAAGCTGACACCAGTTTTGCTAGTTCCCAGGAAGCAAGCTCGGAACTAAGAAGCTCCCCAGTGAAGCCCCAGTGAAGGCCCACATTCCCAGGGCCATGTCCCACTTCTGGTGGAATTGCTTTACCTATCAACTGCGTTCACACATCTGTGTCTCCCACCCAGCTATGCCTATCTGATCCCTTACTGCCATGGAAGATTGACATTTTGTGATTTTTTTTTTCTCCCTTTACTGCTTTTTCTTATCCCTTCTCTGTGAACCAAAACACACCAGAATACAAGAATCATGTACAGAGGCAGAGCGACCAGAGCTAAGCCAAGGGGTGGTAAAGGTCTCACCTTTCTGGACCATCTTCCAGGTGAGATCCATGTACTTGGCCCTTCAGATTCCTGGGCTCCATGCCCCTGGGTTCCATTGGCAGTCCCTTCCTAGCCTTGAGAGCTCAGTGGCTGTGACTTGACCCAGTCCTTGCCACCAGGTCTCTACTCTGCATCCTCCAGGTCAGGGACTGTCATGCTCAGTTTGATAGGCTTTTACTAAGCCCCTGCTACATGTGACTTCATTTCTGTCCTCATCTCCCAAGTCCCTGTGAATCCCACAAGGTTGCGGAAGTGTATTGTGGATGACAGCTGTGGGTGTGATCTGATGTGTGTCCCCCCCAGGAGTGGGTGTGCCAGTATGGACAAGTGACATGCCAGCTTTGGAGCCCCTGCCTGTTTGCAGAGAATGTCCTGCTTTTTCAGAGGGAAACAGCTGTTAGGTGGTATCATGGGGTACCCTGGGGTCTTATGGCTTCTGGGCTGACGTCTTTTCTTCCTAGCTGGATGGAGTCTGTGCTGAAGGATTTGCAGGCTAGTAACACAGGGTCACCAAGGCCTGTCCTCATCATCAGGGCTCTACTTCCTGTCAGAGACAGCTTTTGGAAGAGGTCATGGCATCCCCCAGTCACTGAGGGTGGGAAGCAGGCAAGAGGGTTAGAGCTTCAGGGTTGTGCTTACGACAGACTGCTGTTATCTCGCATGGCCTTTCCTGAGGAAGGCTCCAAGGCACAAGATGGTGGGGAGGATGGGCCTGTGACCCCACTGCCCTGGAGCTGTGTTCTTCTAGAGCTCTGGGCAAGCCCAGAAGCCTGCCTTGAATGACTGGCCTGGTAAACTCTCTTCTGCCCACCCACCTCACTCCATTCCTCCTGGCTGAATGGCATCTGCCTGCTTCTCCTGTGGTAGCCTGGGGAGTCTGTGCCCGTCTCTGAAGCCCCACTGGCATCTGAGACCCTGCCCTTCTTCATGTCCCTTTGTTGTGTCTTCTTCCTTGCCCTGTGGCCTCTTCTTACCCCTGGGCCAGCTATCCCGTCTCCACATCCCCTAACCTGTCACTTCCTGGAGACATCCTCTTTGCACTTCACGGACCCAGCAAAGTTCCATCTTCTCCACACATCTACTCCCCACCACCACCCAGAGTGCACCTCCCCTTCCAAACCTCCCCTCACGGACTGCTGACCATGGGGCCCACTGAAGCTTGGTATATGCTGTCTGATATTACAAACCCAGGGCCTGCGTGTTGAGCAGAGCTGCCTGCAGGGCGGGCTGGGTTTCATGAACCATGTACACACACAGCTTCTCATGTGCTCCTAATACTTGACTGTAGCCTAGGTGACCGAGGCAGCCATTCTGGGTTCCCTGAGGCAGAGCAGGGGCACCAAACTGAGAGGAGGCAGTGCTAAGCTTAGGGATACTGGACACGCGGATCTGAATCCTCACCAGGAGTAGCCTCTTCATCTGAGGCATTCTAGGGTTGCCTGAGTAAGACATGGCTCAGGTATGATAGCACAGTTTGGTTGCTAGCCTGCATGTGCCCTCAGTTGGACAGCTTAGCACTACCACTAACCCAGGCTGGTATGAGCTAAATGTGATCACAGCTGGCCGATGAGGCACGCTGGCAGGGTCAGACTGCAGGCGGACCACAAGAGGGGGACAGCGAAGTGGCATCTGAGGCATGGAGTGCAGCTTGGGGTGATTTTCCTAGGCCTTGCTTAGAGTTGCTCAGTGTTGAGAAAAACAGGACAGTGAGTGTGGGTTGGCCTTCATGGGCTGCAGTGGGCAGCCTCTCTCCTATAACACTAGCAAATGACACAGATCAGGGAACGCATTTTTTATCCATGTACAGTATTAAGGACATAAAAAGCTTAGTCCTCTTGTTTGCTTGCTCTCTCTCTCTCTCTCTCTCTGAGATACAATTAATACATTGAATACAATTAATAAGTCATTTGAAAGTGTTTATAATTCCATGGTCTTTAATTTGTATTGTAGCCGGGGATTTAACTCAGTGGTTCTGCAGCCTGCCTTGAAAGCGCAAGGTCCCAAGTTCAATCCCCCGGTTAAAAAAAAAAAAAAAGAAAGAAAGAAAAGAAAAAGAAAATACTTTGCACTGTATTGTGCGACTCTCACCCCCTATCTAATCCTGGGCATCTCCCTCAACACAGGAAGAAACCCTGTCCCCATTGGCAGGCCTTCCTCTTGCCTGTGTCCAGCCCTGCAGCTACTCTCCATCTCTGTCCATTAGCCTGTTCTGGATAGTCCCATGAATGTCATCATACAATCTGTAGCCTATTATGACCATCTTCTTTTTCTCAGAATATTGCATTCAAGGTTCAACTCTGTGGTAGCATGTATCAGTGCTTCTTTCTTTCTTTCTTTCTTTTTTGAGACAGGGTCTCACTGTGTAGTTGAGACTGATCTGGAACTCACTCACTATGTAGCCCAGGCTGGTCTCGAACTCACGGCAATCCTCCTGCCTCAGCCTCCCAAGTGCTGGGATTACAGGCGTGCGCCACCACACCTGGCTGCTTCTTCAGTTTTATGGCTAGACAATATGCCAGTGTATGGATGTGCCACCTTTCATTTATCTGTTCATCCACTGATAGATGAAGCCTGTGTGATTTAGTCAAGTTCTCAAAGCTGGCAAGTGGCAGTGCTGGGACTTCTGCAGGCCAGGGGCTTTCTCAAGGCCATCTGGCCTTCGGGGGGTTGAGCCTGGTGGCTGCCCTCTCCTTTGGGGACAAGCAGGCACAGGTGTCCTTCCTTTGGTCCATCTGTTGTGACTTGTGGTCGGGATAAGGGCAGCTGGAGTGACTGCTGCCCTGGAGGAAGCAATGACACCTTGACTCAGCAGGCTTCTGCGAGGGGCCTGCAGCTCCACCAAGCTCTGGGGATCCTGCTCATTGTGCCCCCTCTGTTGGCAGCATCCGCAGTGTCATGCAGAAGTACCTGGAGGACCGGGGTGAGGTGACCTTTGAGAAAATTTTCTCCCAAAAACTGGGTGAGTGCAGCCCTAAGGCTTCTCTGGCCTGTCTGTCCAGCTACCCAGGCCCCTAGGGAGAACCCAAGATTGATTTCCTGCTGCCCAGGGATGGGGTGAGTGGGGGGTGTTTGAGTTGCCTTCTCCCAGGACATGTGGCCTGCCATCTACTCAAGGTCCCCCAGGTGCCTGAAGGCACTGCTCTGGTCGAGCCGTGACCCATTGTGCCTTTCAGCCCCTGGCTGACAGCCCAGGAAGCCCCGTGATAGAGGTTGGGGGCTGGGTCTTCCAGGGCCGCAGGGGAAGTTCCTCCTTTGGGGTTTTTGTTTTTAAGAATTGCAGCTTCCCCTTGGCCCAGCCACAGCTGCTCTCGGCCGTTGGTAGAACTGACAGGAAGAGGCGGGGCCCTTCCTGTGGCGCCTGCCCAGCTGTGGTTGGCCCCGCCCCACCCCCAGGGCCCTCTGAGCAACCTGCCTGTGCAAAGCCAGCTCCTCCATCCTTCCTCTTCTTGGTGCTGGTACCTGTGTCTTGGAAGTTTCGTGCTATCCACCCCTTGGCCCAGCGCTGCAGGCAGGCTTGACGCAGTCCCAGAAAAGCAGCTTTAGCCACACAGCCTATTGGGTGTACCTGAGAACAAAATCTGGGCATGTCCTGGTAGGATCAGGCACTGGAGGCTGGCCTTTGGGAGTCAGTGTGCTGGGAAGCACACAGTTTGGGTCCCAGGCTTAGGGTCTGTGCCTTGGGCAAGTTGTTGCACCTCTCTTAGCCTGATGCTGTCCCCATCTGAGAAATAGGATTCCTGAGTCTCACTGCCCAAGACTGACGGGGATGGATGAGGTGATGTAGTGAGGGCATTTTTGTCTGCCTGTTCAGAAGTTACTCAAAGGCACTACATGAAAAAAACCAGGCTGCCCTTTCCAGAAATGATGGCTGTCGGGCACATACCGGTATTCCCAGCATTCTGAGAGGCTGAGGAAGGAGGATTGTAAGTTCAAGCTTGGGCAACATAGTGACTTAGTGAGACCCTGTCTCCTAATGGAAAATTAAAAGGACTGGGGATGTAGCTTAGTGTAAAACCCCAGGGTTTAATCCTCAGTGCCACACACACAGTGTGGGGGGGTGATAGCTGCTAGCTCAGGGAGAGGGGCCAGGGCAGTGGAGGCATAGATAATACCAGGACAAGTCCCCCAAAGAGGCATGGAAAGTCACCAGCACAAGCCATCATCCATTTTGAACTGGAGGCCCAAGGAGGGTGTGGGGCTGCTCTGCTGTGTTCTGGGCAGCTACTATAGGTCCAGGCCTCAACCTGACTCGCAGGGAAGGGTGAGGACACCTCAAGTTCCCTTGGAGTCCTCCTATAGCCACTTGCCTTTTTTGTTCCCCTGTGGCCTCACCCTTGCCTGCTCCTGCTCTGAGGCCCCCACCTTTCAGCCTGCCTTTCCCAGGAACCTGCCACATCTCCAGCAGCTCCCCTGATGCCTCATTTTTCCTAACTAGGCCCCAGTTTCCCAGGCTCCCTGTCAGGGCTGGAGTGAAAAGAGTGGAGCAGGGGCAGGAAAAGGAGCCCTCCCTCAGGGCCTCCTCCCTCCTGCTGCAGTATGATCTGGCCCAGGTGGTCAGACATCAGAGGCCTCTGAACAGCATCTCACTGTCCTCCTCGTGGGGGAGGGGCTAGGACTGTGCTGCAGTGAGGGCATCTCCTGGGGCTCCACACTGCTGCCTCATCGCAGTGCTTGTCACCTTTCAGCCACCATCTGAAGAGAGATTCTGGGGAGAGGGAGAAACATGGGTCCCTGAGCTGGAGTCCAACAATCTTCAGATTGGCAGTAGCCACCAAGCCCCACCTGTGCTGCCAGTGCAACACAGGAAGCCCCAAATCCACTCTGTGCATGGTGACGGGAAAGCCTGAGAGGAGTCAGGCTCAGTGTGACCTGATCGGTTGCTTTTAGGGTACCAGCTCTTCCGAGACTTTTGTCTCAACCACCTGGAGGAGGCTAAACCCTTGGTGGAGTTCTATGAGGAGGTGAGTAGGCTGCTGGCTGGGGCCCACGAGGCCCAGGCCTGCTCTTCTTGGAGAAAGGGATGCATTGGGGTGGCTCTCCTGAGTTGGTGCCCCATCCCTGCTAGCTGCAGACCACCTGTGGCTCCTGCCTTCCAGATCAAGAAATACGAGAAGCTAGAGACAGAGGAGGAACGTGTGACCCGTAGCCGAGAGATCTTTGACTCTTACATCATGAAGGAGCTGCTCGCCTGCTCTCATGTGAGTGTCCTGGCCAGCTCCTTGGGCCTTTTGGGTGTTAGAAGAGAAGAAGGGACTCTGTGGAAGACTCATGGCCATCTCTCTCCTCTCCAGCCCTTCTCCAAGAGTGCCACTGAGCACGTCCAGGGCCACCTGGCAAAGAAGCAGGTGCCTCCAGATCTCTTCCAGGTGGGTGCTAGCCTTATTTCCCACTGGCTCCACCCTGCCACACCAGAGTCCCCATTGGATAATCAGGAGCTTGGGCAGCTGGGTTCAGAGCAGGAGCAGCCTCAGCGGAAGGGCCTTAGTCACCCACTTTCAGCTTTTTCCCTAGCCATACATCGAGGAGATTTGTCAGAACCTCCGAGGAGATGTGTTTCAGAAGTTCATTGAAAGGTGAGTGTGGCGTTGGGGGAGGGGCCAGAGGAGAAGCAGCCCTCTGAGAAGGGGACAGAGGGCAGCTGCTTTGGCCCTGAGCAGGCAGTGCTGGGCCTGTCCTCCTCCATAGGACTAGGATCTCAGAGCCTGTCTGTGGCCACCCACATATCTTCCCTCCCATGGACTTGCCAGGCCCACTTGGGCTCAGGAGCACACCACCTCCTGCAGCCAGCACAGCAAGAGCTAGTGTGGCCTGGGGATTGATTGTCAGCTGATTGCAGAGGGATGGATATAAGAGACACCATTTTTAGGGATGTCCAGCCATGGAGCAGGTAGCTTCACGGGGAATGAGCTCTGTGTTGCTGGAGCTAGAGGATGTGGTGGCAGGAAGTCAGGGTTGGACTAGAAGATCTCAGCTTTTCTAATCCCTGCACAGCTAGTGGCTGAGCCCATCCTGGGCCAAACACAAGTTCAGGGCATTTCCACATACTCTGCCAGGACCCCAGGAAGGTAGTTAGTGGGGCAGGCTTGTGTCAGTAGCCCTGATCTGCCCACTCTGGAGCTTGCCTGAGCCCAGATTCTCCTCTTACAGCGATAAGTTCACGCGATTCTGCCAGTGGAAGAATGTGGAGCTCAACATCCACGTGAGTGAGACTGGGTGGGTGTGCAGAGCATAGCCAGGCCCAGGCACGGCCAAGTAGAAAGGAGGTTGGGAGTGCCCGTCAGCCAGGTTGGAGGCAGGACTACAGTGGGGGAGGCATGTGGCCAGGGCACAGGGATAGGGGATTCTGGCGGTCTGTAGTGACCCTAGCTGTTGCTCCCCCTGCAGCTGACCATGAATGACTTCAGCGTACATCGTATCATCGGTCGTGGGGGCTTCGGCGAGGTCTACGGGTGCCGGAAAGCAGACACTGGCAAGATGTGCGCACCCTGCCCAGCTGGCAGTTGGTTGGGTGCCCAAGGGAAGGATCAGGCTTCTAGGAGTACCCTGAATGCCAGGGGCATCCTAGGGAAGATCTGTGAAATAGATTGGTATCCCGAGCTTGGGGTCCCTGGGGATATGCCTGGAGTATATCCTGTCCCTTTCTGCTGCTGTCCTGTCCCTCCCCTCTTGTTAGGGTTGTCACCACTCTGCAGGTTCCTCAGAACCTTCTGCCTTCTCTGAAGCTCTGACTTGTGTCACATGCCTGTCCTGTATCTACTCTCCCCCCAACCCCCCTGAGGCTCTGCCCTAAGGTGGGTACTGACCACAGCTTTCCTTCTCCACCCCCACAGGTATGCCATGAAATGTCTGGACAAGAAACGCATCAAGATGAAGCAGGGGGAGACCTTGGCCCTGAATGAGCGAATCATGCTTTCCCTCGTCAGCACAGGGGTAAGCTGGGTGGGCCCCACAGCGGCCTTTGGCTGGGGACCCTAGGCAGTCTCTCCTGACCGCACCTCTGTCCTAGGACTGTCCCTTCATCGTCTGCATGTCATACGCATTCCACACGCCAGACAAGCTCAGCTTCATCCTGGATCTCATGAATGGTGAGTGGTCACTGGCCCCAAGGTAGACCTCGAGTCAGGCTGGGGCAGGCAGCTGAGCACCACCTTGTGGGGATTCCTCAGGTGGGGACCTGCACTACCACCTGTCCCAGCACGGGGTCTTCTCTGAGGCTGACATGAGGTTCTACGCGGCCGAGATCATCCTGGGCCTAGAGCACATGCACAACCGCTTTGTTGTTTACCGGGACCTGAAGGTAAGGCACCACTCGCTGCCTGCTGCCCTCCCTCTATGCCACACCTGCACTACAGACCTGGGACAAGACGAGCCCACCTCCTCCCCTTGAGCCCGGCTCTGAGCCACTTTCTGGGCTTCAGATGCCTAGGGAAAGGAAGGAAAGAGCCCACCTGGGGCCTTGTCCTAGGATACTCATAGCCCTCCCAAGTGAAGACCAAGCTGGCCTCTTGCTGGGCCAGGCCGTGCTCACTAGGTTTCCCCTACAGCCAGCCAACATCCTTCTGGACGAGCATGGCCACGTGCGCATCTCGGACCTGGGTCTGGCCTGTGACTTCTCCAAGAAGAAGCCCCATGCCAGTGTGTGAGTGCCCCAGCCACCTGCTCCCTTCCCGAACCCCGCCACTCCTGCTTACAGCCCCTTGCTCCCACAGGGGTACTCACGGGTATATGGCCCCCGAGGTCCTACAGAAGGGTGTGGCCTATGACAGCAGTGCGGACTGGTTCTCCCTGGGCTGCATGCTCTTCAAGTTGCTGCGGGGGTGAGTGGAACATTGTCAGTGGGCAGTGGGGATAGAGAGATGTTCTTCCCAGGAAGGCACCATCCTGATTTTGGGCAAGATTGCTCCATGCTGTCTGCCTCAGTTTCCTCATTCTTGTGTTCTGATCTTGGTCTCCGGCCTCTCTTGCCTAGGCACAGCCCCTTCCGGCAGCACAAGACCAAAGACAAACATGAGATCGACCGCATGACATTGACAATGGTGAGCATAAGGGTCTCCTCAATGGGACTGGGGTCTTCAGCAGGTGCCAGATTGACAGACTCTTGGTTCTCACCAACCAGTAGTGATCTCAGGCTGCTGATCCCCTTGTGTCTGGTGGCACACAGCTGTAATCCCAGCACTCTTGGAAGCTGAGACAGGAAGGTCATTTTCAACCCCAGCTAGGACAACTTAGTGATTAAGCGAGTGTCTAAAATAGGGTGTAAAGGATTCAAGCTCCAGTATGGGGAGGGCATTCGTACTTATTGGGGCTATTTGGAAGCTAGGCCTTGTTTCCACTTGCTGTGGGCCAGACCCTCTCCCTAGAGCTGTGATGGGGCCAGAGACTCTTCCTCAGCCCTTGCCAATGTCCTCCTCCTCAAGGCTGTGGAGCTGCCTGACTCCTTCTCCCCTGAACTCCGCTCCCTGCTGGAAGGTTTGCTGCAGAGGGATGTCAACCGAAGGCTGGGCTGCCTGGGCCGGGGGTGAGTGCCCTGCTCTTCAGCACACAGCTGTGTGGACTCTGCTGTGGGCTGCTGGGCCAGCCTGCCCAAGCCTCTGACTGTACCGACCCCACCCGGGGATGAGGGTTGTGTCTCATCACTCAGAGCCAGCCCTATCCAGTGTCCTCAGGGTAGACAGGCTATCTGGGCATGGAGGACTGGGGCCTTGCTCCCAGGGGGGCCTTTGTAACAAAGATGATGATGACAATAATAGCAGCTTTTTGTTTATTAAACTACTGAGAGCTGGACAAGATGTTGCAAGATTACCAATACTTGGGCTGGGACTTTAGCTCAGTGGTGCCACCGCCTGCCTCACAAGTTCAAGGTCCTGAGTTCAATCCCCGGTACCCAAAAAATAGATTACCAATACTAAAGCTCACAACAACCCTCTTAATGGGAGAGAGTTTCCATTTTAGAGATAAGGAAGCAGGCTTAGGGCTTAGGGTTAAGAGCTTTCCTAGGGTCATAGAACCAGAAATTGAGAATGGGAAAAAATTGAAATTGAGAATGACAGCCTCTCCCTGCAGGGCTCAAGAGGTAAAGGAAAGCCCCTTCTTCTGCTCACTGGACTGGCAGATGGTCTTCTTGCAGAAGGTAACAGCCTGCATGGGCTGGGATGGAGCCCCCTGAACCCCTCTTGATGCTGATGCCAAACCCTGTCCTGCTGCAGTATCCACCCCCACTGATCCCCCCACGGGGGGAGGTGAACGCAGCTGACGCTTTTGACATTGGCTCCTTTGATGAAGAGGACACAAAAGGAATCAAGGTACCTGGCCCTGCCTGGCCTCACACCTGAGCCCTGAGCCTGACCTGGGGAGGGAGATCCTTGTTTTTCCTCTGCCCCTGTCACAACCCTATCACCTGTGGGCACAGGTCCTCCTCCCCAAACCTCCTTGGCAGGGTGCTTGGACCAAGCCATCCCTGCCCCAGGGTCTTGGGCAGGAAGGTGGCTGATTATGTCCTGGCACCTTTTGTGGATCCACATGTCCCTGCCCTGTCTACCTGGTGAAGTTACTGGACAGTGACCAGGAGCTGTACCGAAACTTCCCCCTCACCATCTCGGAGCGGTGGCAGCAGGAGGTGGCAGAGACAGTCTTTGACACCATCAATGCTGAAACTGACCGGCTAGAGGCCCGAAAGAAAGCCAAAAACAAGCAGCTGGGCCATGAGGAAGGTGAGGGCTCACTGCCCACTATAGAAATGAGGAGAAGGCTTAGAATTAAAGAGCAAAGGTCACAGGCAGAAAGTGGCCATGTGGGGATCTAAGCTGGACTGCCCCCTCTGTCTTGTGGCAGACTACGCCCTGGGCAAGGACTGCATCATGCATGGCTATATGTCCAAGATGGGCAACCCCTTCCTGACACAGTGGCAGCGGCGCTACTTCTACCTGTTCCCTAACCGGCTGGAATGGCGGGGCGAGGGCGAGGCCCCGGTAAGGAGCTGGCCCGGGCACCTCCAGTGAGGGTGGCGGGCCAGACCTGCCCCTCACTGCCTTCCCCCACTCCGCAGCAGAGCCTGCTGACCATGGAGGAGATCCAGTCGGTGGAGGAGACGCAGATCAAGGAGCGCAAGTGCCTCCTGCTCAAGATCCGCGGTGGCAAACAGTTTGTCCTGCAGTGCGATGTGAGTGGGGGCCTAGGGTACAGGGGGTGGACAGCAGGGTGCCTAGCTGAAGCTGACAGAGCCTGGGCCCACACAGAGTGATCCTGAGCTGGTGCAGTGGAAGAAGGAGCTGCGGGACGCCTACCGTGAGGCCCAGCAGCTGGTGCAGCGAGTGCCCAAGATGAAGAACAAGCCCCGCTCACCTGTGGTGGAGTTGAGCAAGGTGCCGCTCATCCAGCGCGGCAGTGCCAATGGCCTCTGACCTGCCTACCCACCTGCCCGCCGCCTTTTATAAACCTCTAATTTATTTTGTCGAATTTTTATTATTTGTTTTCCCGCAAAGCGGAAAAGGTTTTATTTTGTAATTATTGTGATTTCCTGTGGCCCCAGCCTGGCCCAGTCCCCAGGAAGGGGCCCGCTTGCCTCAACTCTTGCTGCCACCACCACAGCCACTGTCCTGCACCCCTCACCCTGACCCCTGGAGCCACCCACTCCCAGTGTCTTCCTGTGGGGGACAGCAGCAGCCCCCTGCAGCCCTCCCCAGGGAATGAAGCCACCCTGGGCTATGCCACCTCAGGCTCTGTGGGCTGTGTTCTGCCCACATCATGGCCGGGTGTCCCAGTGTCCCCCACCCCAGGGGAGGGCACAGCACAGGGATACTACTTGAACTTTCCCACCACAGCCCCTCCTGCAACAGAGGGACAGAGTCCTGTGCTGTCCTGCCCGCCAGCCATTGCTGAGAGGAGGGGGCCCTTTGTGTCCCTGGCCCAGAGGCCTCCCATGGTGACCAATGCTCCTGGACCCTTGTTCAGAAAAGCCTCTGTGTCACTGGCTGGCTGCCTCCATTGCCCCTGTCCCTGGACACTTGGGGCTCAGCCAAGAGGGTGGCCCTGGCAGCAGCTGCTCTTCCCCTCCCCACAGCCTCCACTCCCTCCCATTGAGCACCAGGGCTCAGGTCCATGGATGGGCAACTGTGGATTGGGCCCTACTGGCCTAGCCTGGCCCCCAGACTCCCTGGCCCTGGGCTGGCAAAGCCCCCACCCCCACCCAGGACCACAGCAGGCCAGCCTGCGAAGGTTGGTAGCACAATGAGAGGGGGCCCCTCTGTCCAGCCCCACGGCCTATGTCCTGTCAGTGCCACTGCTCATGGGCGCCACCTTGCCCACCGCATGCCCCCTGTGCCAGTTGCGCTGCCGTGTGTGGTGTTGCACCCTCCCCACCTCGGGCTGGGTTGGCACACCCTCCCTTCTCGTTTACTCACTCCTGGGGCGTTTCTTTGCCGATTTTTGAATGTGATTTTAAAGAGTGGAAAATGAGACTATGCGTTTTTATAAAAAAATGGTGCCTGACTCCTCGCTCTCTCAGACTCTTTGTGCCTTGTGACAAATTTTCAGCCTCCACCTGGTTGGGGCTAAGGTGGGAGGGTCTTGTGCACCAGATCTCCACTGCCAAAGCAGCCTTCAGGCCTCTTGTGGGCAGGATGAGTATACCCCACCCCACCATCCCAGATGCCTTGTCCATCTGTTGGTGACAGAACAGTGCCCATCCCCCACCTCCCAGAAGGAGGTATCTCTGGTCCACTTCCCATGTAGGCAGGAGGAGGTGCCAGCAGTTCCACATTTGGGGTCACAATTGGAGTGACCAAGGCTGTGTCAGCTTTACTAAACTTCCTTTGCACATCAGGCATGGTGCTGATCTCTCTCCCATCCCAGTGCCTGGTTACACTGGGCACCTCTGCTCTCTAGGTCACACTGTGGCTTCTGGGCCTTTGGCCCTCTCTGACTTTGACCTCCCTTCTGGTCTCACTGTCCAGAGCCATCATCAGGTTTCTCATCTCCCCAGAGCCAGCTCCCTTTTGCCCACATTCCACCTCGTGTCTCCAGAAGTGATGGGGCAAGTGTGTGCTGCTGTCCATACCATACAGGCTCTGATGGGCACAGTGGAGGCCGGAGCACAGCATGACTGGCAGAGAGGAAGACTGCTGGGACAGTCACTGATGGGTCTAGAAAGAAACAGCATCTGAGCTGGGCCTCCAGTGTGGGGAGGGTGGGCATGATGGAAAGCGGTAGGGCCAGGAGGCCCCTGAAGTGCCAGACTTAACCTAGTGTGCAGAGCCCAGAAGTTCTTGGTAACTGCAAAGTGAAGATGAACAATGAACACCGACAGTCAGAACTTTACTTGGCTGGGGAATCCTTGAAGGCTGAGTGGGACTGGAGTCAGGACCCTGGCTTTCAGTAAGTGGCTGGTCACTGTACAGGAGGAGGTAGGGAGACAGGCTCAAGCTACTGCTTCTGTCCAGGGAAGATATCCTCATGATAGTGGAGAAGACAAAGCCAGGTAGGAGAACAGAGCCTAACAGAAATGGGCCAGGCTTGGGGATGACAAGTGAGAGACCAGAATGGAGCACAGGAAGGTCCATGGTACCATCCAGAGTACAGTGGTCCAGGGCAGAGCTAGCCCAAGAGGAAGAGCGAATGTGTGGCTGCATTTGACTTTAGTCATCCTGCTGAGATACTTGGGCCCAGAGATATTCTGGGGGTAGCATCAGGATGATCATGGGAGTAGACAGGCTCTCAGGGAGAAGCCAGACTTCCCAATTAGAGTGGCACAGAAGGGCCCCTGGAAGAGGAGGGGCGCTGTTAATGGAAGTAAAGACTGGTAGGGAACGAGTACAGAAATCCAGTGAGGCTGGGTCTACGAATGACCTGCTAGATTTGGGTCTGAAGAAGGTGTGGGGAAAAGATAACCTCTCTGAAAAAGGTAGAGGCCTGAGCAGTGGCAGCCAGCAGAGGCTGACTAGAGCTCTGAATATTCAGACACCTTTGAACTGCTGCAGACATTACAGATGACCTGATAACATCACAGGGTGGGTGGCAGTGATCTCAGATGGCACAGGAACCACCTGACTACAATGGGGCAAGGTCATAAAGTTGTCCTAGAGCAGTACGGGACCCTTGAGCTAGATCTTTCTCCATCACAGTATCTAATCTATTTACAAACAGGGAAACCACTGAGACCAGAGCCTCAAACTTGGCAAGACTAGTTGCAGCCTTATCACCCAACAAACCAGGATAAGGCACCCAGGCTGGGCCTCTTTGAGCAAGGGGCCAGAACTAAGCAGATTGAGGCCAGCACTCTAGTTCCGGTGTGGGTAGAGGTGACAGCCCTGTTCTGTTCCGAAACTCTCCTTTCTGTCTTAACACTGGCAGCTGAGTGCGGGCTCTGCATAAAGGACCTGTGCAGGGGCAGGGTTCACAGCGGACAGTTGTCTAGCAAAGTCTTGGCGCTGGCTAAGCTTAGGCTTCCTACTCCCCAGTACTCCTATTCCTGATTCCAGTGCCCTGGTGACCGTCCCCCCCGCATTGCTGGGCTGGCCCAACTCATGTGGTGGCCTCCAGACTGGCCAACGACCTTGGGGAAGGGGCTTCACGCTCAGCAGGATAGCATTTAGGGGCAAGCTGTTCGGTGCTCATTCTTCAGAGAGCTCAAGAGACTGTCCAACGGTGATGGATCTAGGACCTCTCACTTCACCTGCACACTTAGGCACAGGCATAATCGGGTCCTGCAGGACCGGGGGTCGTAAGACGGGCCAGGATCTAAGGATCTATATCCCACTGGCCGTAAGACCGCGACCCGCCGCGCTCAATCACCCGCGCATGCGCGTGCAAGTCTCAGAGGCCCGGTCCCCGCCCCCCGCGGAGCCACTGCCCCTGGGCCTTCCTTTCTGGACCTGCTTGAAAGGGTCCGCGCAGGGCCTGGGGCGCCCCCTGCAGGCCTCGAACTGAGATGCAGCTAGGCCCCGCCCTCCGAAACGCCCCCCGAAGACCCTTGCCCGGCTGAAGCCGGGTGAGGGACCCTGTCCCGGCTTTTCCAGAGCTCACGCGGTTGCCCAGGCGCCTGGGCAGCACCCTCTGTCCATCCTCAGCGCGCGGGGACTGCAGTTGCTATGGCTGACGGAGGGGAAGGGGCGCACGGCCTGACGCCC